GGCTCCTCCCTGGGGTCCCAGCAGCCCCCTGGCACCGGCGCTTGAAGGCATTTTACTTCTTGGGGTAGACGGCAGGGAAGGGGCTGGGGCTGGGGCTGGGCTGCCACAAACAAGGATGAGACCCCCCTCGTGGCTCCCCCACCGTCTCCCTCGGCATGCCGACATATTACAAGTCGAGGTGGCACATATTTTCAGCGCTCTGCCCAAAACCGTTGCTGACTCCTGCCTTAGACCCACAGGGCTACAACCTACACCCCTGAGTCTTTCCCACGATTTCGGCGCCTCCTTGCCTTTCTGCTACCTGACACTGTTGAGCCCCAGCTCAAGTCTGGGATCGTGCCCGGTATGCAAAAGCCAATAAAGATACCAGGGGTGAAAGTATAAAGATTTATTGCTAGCAATACAAGGTGCAAGCAGAATAACGTAACAAGCACACCGATTCTTAATTCTAAGCATCTTTTATACAGGAGTATTGGACCTTCATAAGCATTCTTGTTTGCTAATTGGTTATAAGGGAGTGACGCAAGGAGTTCTTTACTGAGCATGTCTCTATACCTGTGTTTTAGCTATGTATCTCATTTCCATACATGTATGTTTCATTAGCATACTTTCTCCCCACCTAGGGGTGTGAATCTTAATATTTAAATCAGCTCTTTGCCCTACTCCACTAATTCTGTTTTTGTTTTCAAGTCTCCTTTATCTAAGACTGTCTTCTCCTTATCATTGCAATTGAGCATTAGTTACAGAACAGAGACTTTTGCTTGGGCTATGTGTAGTGGTTTCTAGGTCAAACCTAACATTTTCCCCCTCTGGAGCATTTTTAATTATTTTTATTATAATTGCTCCACTCAATTTGTTTCAACACAAACCTAGTATTCTCAGCTTTCTTCGTTTGTAAAATCATTTGATTCACCTTAGGTCTGAAGATAGATAAGACGACAGGTGAACATTGTATACATAGGATATTTGATTGGTCTTGTTACAAAGGATTCTTCTACCTTGGTTCAATTTGAAGCAATTATTAGTACAATTAACTATTAGGAAACATTCAGAAGCATTAGCTGTTGCCTGAACCCGTACGGAAAACATGTCTCTATTCTTCTCTTTTACAATAGTCCCCCACTTATATATATTCTGATATGTACTTTTCTTCTCTACATTCTTCAGCATAGGATAATTTTGTAAAATTTTTAAAGGGGTTGGTACTGCGATTAAGCATGAGGTAAAAACCAGGTGAGCATTGATCCCTCCCGCTAAGCAGAAGTCCGTTCTATTTAAAATTTCCCGGGCCAGATAAATCCAGACATTTTCCTGAGGGTCAAATTTTTGTTGTAAAAGGGTTTCCCCTCCTATAAGTAGGAGTGGACAGATCAGGGTGCCCCACAATAAAACCTTGAACAATTTCATAATAAGGCTTATAAAACTTAATCAAAGATTGTCAAATTATTCAAAGTTCCTTTCTTTTGAATAGGAATTTCAAGTCTCTTATTGGCTCCACCTTCCACTGTTCTCTGTCTCCGGTCCCGGAGTCTGCAGGGATTCCTTCTTGTTCTGGTCCAGCCACCGGCTTTAGGCGACTGGAATGTATCCAAGTCTTGATTCCTTCGAGCTTTGCGGCCGTCGGGGTCGTTAGAAGTACCCTATATGGGCCTTTCCATCTGGCTCGAAGTGGTTCCTCGTTCCAATCTTTCACAAGGACGTAACTCCCAGGTAATAATCGATTTCCCAGGGCAGGATACTGGTCCTGTGTCTGCAGCACGTCCCGTACCTGCTGATGGATGGAAGACAAAACAGAAACCAAGGACCATACATATTCTCTAATCATTCCCTCTCCTAAAACATGTAACTGTTGTTCAGTACCCATGGGCAGACTCAGAGGGTAAGGCTTACCATACATTATTTCAAACGGGCTTAATCCCAATTTAGAATGTGGTGCGACCCTTACTCGTAACAGGGCCAAGGGTAGGGCCTCTGGCCATTTGAGTCGAGCTTCTTGGCAAATCTTTGCAAGGTGTCTTTTTAAGGTCTGATTCATACGTTCCACCTTTCCACTGGACTGAGGTCTCCAAGGGGTGTGTAAATGCCAGCTGATTCCCAGGAACTCAGAAACCTTCTGAGTAATTTGTGCAATGAAATGTGGGCCATTGTCTGACCCTATTCCTTTTGGAAGTCCGAAGCGAGGTATGATTTCTCGTAGGAGTGTCTTGACTACCTCCCGGGCTTGGGCAGTCCGACATGGGAAGCACTCAACCCAATTAGAGAAAGTGTCCACAAAGACAAGGAGATATTTTATCTCTTGTTGCGAGCACCTTTTTATCACCTTGTGTAGCTCCATACAGAGGTTTTGCAATAACCCCAAAATTTGGAATCCAAATCCTGCAAAAACCTACTGTACCTAAGAAGCCCCGTAATTGTCTCTTCGTTTTTGGGGGTGCTAGCCGGCATATAGCTTCTTTTCTTTCAGGCAACAGGGCTCTCTGACCAGGCTGTAATTCAAATCCCAGGTATATTACCTTTTGGGATATGGGCTGCATTTTATTTTTGGACACCCGGTATCCTTCCTGTCCCAGAAAATTAAGGAGGCAAATTGTTCCTTCCAAGCAGCTTGCTTCAGTGGTGGCTGTTAAAAGCAAGTCATCCACATATTGCAAGACAGCACAGGATGGTGGCAGTTTTAGCCTACGTAGATCCTTGCTTAATGCAGTGCCGAATAGGGTTGGGCTGTTTTTAAACCCTTGGGGTAAGACAGTCCAGCAAAACTGAGTCTTGATGCTAGTATCTGGGTCTTCCCATTCAAATGCAAATATTTCCTGAGATCCCCTCTCTACTGGTATACAGAAAAAAGCATCTTTTAAATCAATAACCGTAAACCAGTTATGATTTGGATTCAAGGCAGATAACAGAGTGTACGGGTTAGGAACCACAGGGTATATACTCACAACCACTTTATTTACAGCTCTCAAGTCTTGGACGAAACGATATTCATCACTCTTAGGCTTCTTCACAGGCAAGATGGGTGTGTTAAAAGCTGATGTGCATTCACGGAGAAGGCCATACTCCAGGAACTGTTCAACTAACAGCTTCACTCCTTTCCTGGCTTCCATCCGCATTGGATATTGTTTCACACATGGAGGCTGGGCCCCTGGCAAAAGTTGAATCTTTACAGGGTCAGCATTTTAGCCTTTCCGGGTCGATGACCTGCCCATACCCATGGAACAACAGCATCGAGCAGGGTTTGAGGGATATCCGGTGTACTTTCCTCTCGGAGAAGGCCGAGAAGGCAAGCCTGCAAATGCCACCCCTTTTCAGAAGGCACTGTTAAAAACATTTGCCCATCCTGGAATGACAACATAGCATGCAGTTTACAGAGGAGGTCTCTTCCTAAAAGGGGAACAGGGCAGTCTGGCATGTACAAAAATTGATGGGTGACTTCAGTCTGCCCAAGATTACAGGTCATTGGCTGTAAAAAAGGGTCGTGTTACTGCCTTCCCTGTAATCCCTACCACCGGCGCAGCCTTTTTACTTAAAGGTTTCAGTTTTTGAGTTAAGACAGAATGGGCAGCACCTGTATCAACGAGAAAATTTACCAATTCATCTTTGTCCCCTAGTTGCATTTTAACCAGAGGCTCATCAGGGGACACTGGGATCTGGGTTATCTTTCCCTCCCGGGCCTCCGGTGTCCTTCAATCTGAATCCCTTCCAAAAGCAAACAGTCCACTGCTCTCCTCTTTTTTCTTTTCACCTTCCCCAACTTTCCGACGGGGGCATTCCCGCCTCCAATGTCCTTTTTGTTTGCAATAGGCACACTGATCTTTCTCTAATGGATCCCGTCTCTGAGGCTGTCTCCAGGATCCCTCATTTCTAGGTTTTCCCGTGATTGCAGCTGCCAGTAGGGCTGCCTGCATTTTTATCTTTCTCTCCTCTTTTTTTGTCCTGTTGCTTTTCCTGAACACTTTCTCGGTTAGTAAATACTTGGTAAGCAATATCTACTAGTTGGGAAATAGGCATACCTGTTGCTCCGTCTGTCTTCTGCAATTTCTTTCTAATGTCCGGTGCACTCTGACCTATAAAAATCATATTTACCATGCGAGCGTTTGATGTATCCTCCGGGTTCTCACGAGTGTATTGTCTGAAAGTAGTGTAAATTCTTTCCAAGAAAGCACTCGGGGTCTCATTTGTCTCCTGTCGGACCTCATACACCTTACTGAGATTCTGGGGTTTTTTCACAGCATCTCTCAATCCTTGGAGGATATATTCTCGATAGGCACGGATAGAGGTCATATCTTGGTCTGGTTTCCAATCTGGCTCCTGGGTGGGGACATGATTGTCCCTATTTCCTTGCAAGTTCCCTGCAGTAATCTCCTTTTCCACGTACTCACGGGCTTTGCCCACTACCATTCTCCTCTCCTCTGGTGTCAACAGGATATCTAAAAGAGACTGAACATCTGCCCAGGTTGGGTTATGGGTTTTGAAAATCATTTTAAACAGGTTATGTACCTTTTCAGTACCTTCTCTCAAGCTGGGGGTATTGTTCCGCCAATTATACAAATCTGATGTAGTGAAAGGAATGTGCACAAAGGTTCGACGGTAGGTTGGCTCCCCATCATCTTCTAGAGGCCCAGGTACCACTTGTTCTCTTAGGGGAAATACCCCATTTCCCTTCCCACGGCCAGGATCAGATTCCCTGTGATGTTTTCCCTTAACCCCGGAGTCTGCTCTTAACTGTACTCTCCACCCACCTCCCGGGGTTATATCAGGAGAAGTCGGGGAATCTGGAGATTGCCAAACACCTGACAGCCAGGGCTGGTGCTGTTCCAGATTCCTAGGTCGGGGAGTATTTTCAGTCTCCGCCTCGGGGGGGAAGAAGCAGGAAGAGCAGATGCCAGCAAGGAATCAGATGTATCAGGAGGAGGAGGAGGAAGAGGAAGAGAATATGGTAAAGGCAGCAGAGGGGGAAGAGCCTCCGG